TATTTTGAGTAGATAAATCACTTTAACATGTAAGATATACATTTTTGTTTTGAAAACAATAAAGCTTCGAACATGTTTTCTTTTGCCTGTCAATAGGACATTGAATTTACCAACGCGAGAAATACGTCCAAGAAGCCACACTATTGGAAATGATAGCGACGTTAAACATTTACAGCAACAAGTTGCAATTGTTACTCTCCCGTATTTGAAAAAAAATTGATACGATTCTAGATCCTGACATCAAAACCGATGCCAGATTGCTGCATCTTACACACATTTTCATGCTTCTTTCTGTCCTGAATTCATCTGATAACACTGTCACTCAAGAACCAACAGGTCGGGTGTGTGGGTGTGTAGTTCTCATGTACGACCACACCCACACCCACACCCGCAAGATAGTTATGAATATTTGGATACCAATCGCTGTGTCGTATCGATGAATGATAAAAATTCAAGCAACAAACAATGAATCATGTCCTTTAATCAGCATATTTTTATGACTCATTCATACTATTCTACACTGAATTTTTGATAAATAGATTAATAATTTTACATTTTAAACTTTTATGAATTCTCAAATAGATTTAAAATCATGAAAGGTACGATAACTAACAAAAAATAATGACAAATAATAGAAAAATCAGAAAAAAAGATGTTAAATACCATACTAATCAGCAGTATCAATAGTAATTAATCTCGTTTTCTTTAAGAACTAAGAATATAACGTGTAGATACTTCATCAATGCGCGAAAAAAATAGGTTTCAGACACCATCCGAGTCAAAATTGTTAAAATTAGAATACAGCATTCGGTATATGATTTCAGCAGAAACAGGTCATCGATTCATTCGAAGTGTCAGACAACACAGCAGATAACTATTTGTTGATAAATTATCAGAAATGGTAAAGACTGTTGTTAACATTTACACTGTAATGTATCGCATAGATATAGTAACGATACTACTTTGGAGGGCCTGAAGAAGCGAAAACGATTTTAGCAGCTTTTAGCCATTGAGAAAAGACTAGACCGGTGTTACTTCAGAGTGAAAATGATACATTCTAGTCTGTACTATGGAACACTTGTACGAACCTATACGAAGTTATGTATATCTTGCATCTTGCTGAATATAATCTTAACAGGGAAACAAATAGAATATTTGAAAGCTTAGTGGGATCAATAATGGGCATATTATGAATTCTAAAGGAGAATTTCAGTCGTTATTCTGCTTCCAAATGTGTAAAAGAATCGAAACGCTTTTTATTTAAGATGAGATTGATCTTCTTTCGCCAATGACTACAGTTTCGATAGGTTTTGAATAGATACTATCGTATCAACAGAATTTCGAGGGATACCATCAACATGACCTTCGTCTTACATTCTACGATAATGGTTTTTCCTGAAACATAGCACATATGTATTTACAAGTCTGTATCTTTTCTCATCACAAAGACACGAAGTATTACCCATGATTTAGCAAGACTTTGAGACTTACAATATGTTGTATCTATAAAAACGCTAAAGGAGAAATTGAGATATGAGGTGTAGAGTACATCGTTCATTTCAATAATACAACCGTATTGTAACATGAAAATAATGCGAATGTCAAGGAAAACAGTCTCACCTTGTGCTCTAGTAGTTTAATCGGCTGTGCTGGTTATGAAGCTGAGGTTTCTAAATTTCGACTTAGACATAGCACTGTCCATCAATTTAAATCAGTAGTCATGAGGCAGTGTGCATAGGGATGTGCAGTGTCGGTTTAAACACTGAAAAACTGACCACTGAGTACACCGACGGTATATCCAGTGGAGCACCGACTACACCGACACTGTGTCCAATGGAGCACCGACTTGCACCGACGTTGTACTCCAGTGGAGCACCGACTACACCGACACTGTGTCTAATTGGAGCACCGACTTGCACCGACGGAGTACGCAGTGGAGCACCTACTACACCGACTACACCGACACTGTGTCCAGTGGAGCACTAATGTGCACCGGCGGTGTACTCTAGTGGAGCACCGACTACACTGCCGCCGACGTCACTGACACGCCGATCTAACTGACACCGACTTCACCGACTACGCTGGAAACACCGATTGAATTATTCAGTGTTCACTGAAGCACTAAGGTTCTATGAAGTTTAGGACACTGAACCACCCACGTGAATAATTCCGATGTTGGATCCGAGAGGATCATCTATCATCCGACCACCCGACAACATCAGATGAGATTCTGGGTTGAGGAACAGTGACGGATCCGAGAGTCGGATTCCAATGAATATCCGATGATATCCCACTATTGGAACAAATAAAACTTCCGACAATTAGTTTACGATCCATTTTCTGCAGGATCCTATGAGTCTCTGTACATGCGGTAGAAATCATATGTCTCCCGTCATCATGTCTGATACCAGCCAAACTATCAATATAATCAACAGATTTGTGAGCAAGTATCGTTAAAATTCAACCTATTTCTTACGGAGTTTCAAAAAAATCTTATATTCTGATTATGGACACACTTCCATCGCAAGATAAAAGATATAGTTCAAAACGCAGCTTATCGACCAATGAAGAATGAAAGCGTATAAAAAAATGTTATCCCATAAATCAAGATAATTTCATTATTTTCATATTGCATTAACAAGCATTTTCATGACGATGGCTGAAACAGCGCTGATTATGGCTGAAACATCGCTGACTATGGCTGCAACAGGGCTGACTATGGCTGAAACAGCGATGATCATGGCTGAAACAGCGCTGAATATGAGCTGAAACAGCGCTGATACGGACTGAAACTTGAGGGTGTGGGTATGGGTTGTCTCCATTCTTATTTTTTCTCACACCCACACCCAGACCCAGGTGCGGGAAGTGTCTCGAACCTCAGTAGCCCTCAGTGCTTCAGTGAACACTGATTGAACTTTTCAGTGTTCCCTGCGTAGTCGGTGAAGTCGGTGTCAGTGAAATCAGTGTATCAGTGACATCGGCGGCAGTGTAGTCGGTGCTCCACTGGAGTACACCGTCGGTGCAAGTCGGTGCTCCACTGGATACAGTGTCGGTGTAGTCAGTGCTCCACTGGACACACTGTCGGTGCAAGTCGGTGGTCAGTAAACCGACACTGCACATCCCTAAGTGTGCAGTGTTATGAATACATGCTATATTGTAACTTCAATCATTTTGACTCGGATGTGGTTTGTAACCTATTTTTTTCGTGCATTGATGAAGTATATGCACGTTATATTCTTAGTTCTTAAAGAAAATGAGATTAATTACTATTGATACTGCTGATTAGTATGGTATTTAACATCTTTTTTTTTTGATTTTTCTATTATTTGTCTCTATTTTGTGGAACTCACATATATTTTCGAAGAAAATGGCGAGTGTAAGTTTAAAAACGAGATTTGTGCGGCTCCCCACACTCCCCTCTCCATTACCGACCCAACCCTTTATAGACTCCCTTACACCCCCCTTAGAGATACTACCTTGCATTACAGATATTAGCAAGCATGCAAAAACTAAATAAAACTTTTTCTACCAATCGATTTTCTTGCAGCAAATTTCGCACCACGCGCTATATATACGTAAATTAGGCGAAAAATCATATGTGAATTCCATATTTTAGCCCCAAAGAGACTGCGCTAACAAGCTTTTTAAAAGGACTTATTTCTTTCACAAAGAAATGGATTTGTTGATGAACATTTCATATTCGAATCATCAAGACATTGATGATCACTCATCCTTGAAGATGTCCATCGTATGCATACGTCAGAATTGTTATGCTCATTTCGAAACTTGTCATTATTCTGATCGGATAAATTTTTCTTCCATCATTTGATAAACCATAAACGAAATATTTTAGTAATATTTAATCATGAATAATACCACCAAAGATCTGAAACTCCTAGATAAATAGTAGTTGCGTCAGCTAGCTACATAAAGACTAAAAACTGAAGTTTATAAAACAACCTGATTTATCATTTTGAAATAGACTTGCACTAGCTATTGCCCTTATACTAGTAGGCGAATAATCTGATTTAAGATATGAATTTGTGATATTGTAAAATAATAAAAGTCGACGGAACAACTGGTTTACAATATAAATTAGATCAGCGTTGAATTTATGACAATAAATACGAGCATCAAACCAAGTTTTGTTTTCATTAAAAAATGTAAACAATTAGTACTTAAATATGTTGAATATTAAATAACAAGAAAATATTTGAAAATCTCCATCAGATGGACCAATTCTCACGTTGCAAAAAGTAATTTAGCGTATTAACGCATGAGAAAACCTGTCAGATACAAAACAGTGATAATGTAGTAATAAGGATCAATATGAAGGTAAACTTTCAGTTAGTCGAAAGTAGTATGAGCTCGCAGATAAGAATGTAAATGTAAGAAAGATTCCTGTTTTCATACTTAGTCATCTCCAATATATCTCTGCCTTTCAAGATTCGCATCATTTTATTTTTTGACTAACTGCAATATAATCGATTATTAATAGAAATCAATTGTATGCTGTTTACTTATTGATGAGCAACTCGCGAATATTTTTGTTGTATTTTTTTAGTTTAACGAGTTTAATAATTTTAGCAGCAAATAAATTCCAGCCGTGAATACATTCCTGACATCGTTTTCCAGTCCAAAACTATACTTGTTTCCTATTAGCGATACGTTGACATCTATATTTTTTATAAATCATATTCGATGAAGTACATTCTATTATCCCATCACAATAATCATTAAATGATGCTAATTGTTGCTTTTCACAGACTAAATTTTTGGATGAATATAGAATAGAATCTTACTTGTTATCTAATTGAAAACGAAATGTATTTTTTTGTGCATACGGAGAAAGTTGATTATATATTAACAGAAGTGATAAAAAACAAAATGATATTTATCAAATACAAAAATAAATACTAAATAAATTTGAAAAATGTTTTTTTTTCTTATTATAAGAAAAAATATTTCTGCGTATTTTTTACGGGATCTCTTTTTTCTGATCAATAGTTTAGATCTTGGTATTCACGTTTAGTATCACCTAAATTCACTTGCGAACTTGTAAACATATTATATGGAGCTGGATGACTGACTCTTTGCGAACTTCTAGTTGATATAGTACCTGGAAAGAAAAAATGTGTTAAAATGATAACCATCGCGCCTTGATCATAACGATGTCGTCCAGAAGAAGATCCTCTACATTTCGATTTTGATCCAAGTGCCATTATACATTCGGATTCCAGTGCACAAGTGAGCCATGCTTTCATTATTAGGCGTGTTAAAAATGTATCAGTAACAACTAAAAGATCTGTTTCAGCCATCGTAATATCATCATATTGACTGTAGGATTGATTGAACCAATCAAATGTACCAGTTCGCGTATAACATGGTAGAGAGCGACTGGGTAATTCACGTACAGCAAAACCGCGAATATAATTATCAATTAGAATTGGACTAAATGAATTTGATTTGAAGCGAATTGATGAATCGCTATAGATGATCGTGCCATAACGACGCAGTGCATCCTATCAAAATAAAACAACATCTTGAGATTGTTTATCTTGTTGAATACTCCATCAATCTTAGAAGGAAATTAAAGTAATGGTTTAGAAGGATAGCAATGATTTATCTAACACGTATCTCATTTAATAATAGTTTTATTAATATTCTATGAATGACTCTGAAACTATGATTATCTACAGTTATTAAATAAAATTAGATAATTACCTGAATAACAAATGGTTTAAATGAATAAAATCTCAATGTACCGACATATAATGCATACTTTTCAATGTCTGAAAATGGAAATTTGATAATTGTACATCGTTTACATTTTTCTCTCAACTAAACAGAAAAATTAATCATTTTATGAAAATCTATGAACTCTTTCGTTAGTATCCTTCCTAACCAATTCTTCTTGATCACTAGTGATACCCAAGTTGTAGAAGGCAATCTTGTGATCAGGCCAATAAGTATCGAGTGTATGAATAGCACCTTGAAGCCTATTGAAAAAACTTTGATCACAAGCAAGAACAAATACTGGTCTACGAAGGCACCCAACTTGAAACTAAAACATTTTTGTAAACAATGAAAGCTAATTAAAATCAAATTCAAAAAAGCTTCTTCCTCAATATTTACTCTATTTGTTCTATTATTTTCTAATCCATCTGATAAATAAGTTGATATTTGTTTTAAATAATCTATAATTGTGTGATCAACATGTACTGTTTTATTATCTGGCATTAATTTAATATAACGATTATATAATGTTTTTATTTCAACGATATTACTTTCACCGGTATATGCTTTTAATGATATATCCGGATTTATCATATTGAATACGTCAAAGTTTTGTAGTAGTGGTTGATATGTATCCTCTTTTGAACGAATTATTTCTAAGAGATTACGTATTCGTTCGATTGTGGGTTTGACACGCTTCACATTGGGTCGATTCGCAGTCAACGAATATGGTTTATATTTAAGAATAAATTTATCAGTTGATGGTTTAAAATGACAATACTCATCAGAATTCATAGTTCTCAAAGAATAATAAGATTGATTATCGGGATATTCACCATGGAGAAAGATGAAATAAAAATATATACAGAGAAACATAGTTGAGAATAAACGTCGAATTAATTTTAAACGTCGCATGAATATTAAACGTCGCATTAATATTAAACATTGCATTAATAGTAAACGTCGCATTAATATCATTTTAAGATAATAAAATAAGCTAATATATTTAGAATTCATAGGCTGAAAAAAATATAGAATTAGACAAAAACCTTTATATCAGAGATCTTTTATCGGTGATCTTATTTATCCCATACCTCGCATTATTCAATTTCATTGAGATCAATTCAAATGAAACAACTTTTATTTTTGTTTTGCACATTATATCAAACTCACACGTATTAATGAAATCGTACTTACAAGTGCAACCTTCAAGAAAGTCTTCAATATAACTGTCTACCATATATTTATCAAATGATTTATGTTACATAAATGTATGTATATATATATATGTATAGAAAAAATTAAAGGTGTATATAAAAAGAACGACCATACTTTTTACGGGCGTCCACAAAAATAATTTCGCCAGAAAAATAACCATTTTCTATTGGTAGCAACTCACTGTTTTTGTGAAGCTATTCTGCTACAATTAGGTTTTACGAACTGATGAAATACAGTTCTTGAATAGTATGCTCCTTTTTCAATAATACTTGATCTAACTGTATTTTTGGTATATTACATTCTAATACTATCTTTTCCATAAGTCAAGGACTCATTCTTTGAGTTGAACTGATCTCTAATAAGAACAATTTTGGATTGCACTAGAGAGAAAAAAGACAGGCTTCGTAGGAATTTTTCTACTGGGTAGTTTATTTTTCTATCATGAATACATTTTTGGTTTTGGTTTTAGCTAAAGGTTTCATTTGTATTCATGGATTTTATACCGGGATGAGTATCGAGATTCATACGCAATAATACAAGAGATTCATGTCAAATTTTCGTCTTCGGAGAGTGTCTCCCATCATAATTTGCAAACCTTACAATGATTAAAACAGATTCATCATTACATTGATGATTAATAACAAGCAAGGTGTAATATTGTGTCAATTGAATGCGAGGAAAAGAAAAGCGTTAAAAACAAGACAGAAAATTATAGAATACAAAAACAGCGAAGAAAAAAATATATAGAAGAAAAAGAAAGTGAGATGAAACGTAACTATAGGTAGATAAATATTCTAATGAAAAGAACACAATCAGAACGAAGGTGTGCGTTTGAGAATAGAAGATTGCACCCACTTAAATATAAATTTGAAATACTACAAGTGATACGAACAAATAATTGAATCGCAGTTCAACAATCGCTGAATTAATTGGTACTGATACTTGAATAAAACAAAAAGCGAAAGCAATACTCATAAGCTCATCGTTTGCTTTCATATACTCTTTTATCATTTTGATCAAATACGAATATTCCGTTCGTGTCGTAATTTTGAAAATAATTTCATTATAGGCTTAGTCTTTTTCTGCATAATATTTTCTAGTTTTATCCGAAAAATATTACGCAACTCAACGTGCCAGGTCAACTGCTAGAGGATTTTTTTTGTTTTGAAGTACTATCAACGACTTGATAGTCATCTAAAAATTGATTTCATTGAAATAAATGTGAAGTAAACAATTTTTTGTTTCTGCTAGATAATTTCGATACGATATCAGTAATACAAAATATTAGTCAAAGTCGAATTGCATCTGATTATATATCGAAAATCGTAAAAAAGACTATACAATGCAGAGCATTATAACGAAAAAATTATGTAATGAAAAGTTTCTCTAAAATAGAATTTCTTTCACAACTATAAGAGGATTGAATTATAAACTTGAGCACTTGCTAACGAAAAATCTATTTGAAAGAAAACTTTAGGAAAAAACCAGCATACAAGAAATAAAATTATTCAAGATATTTCATAGTTTTTCTTGTAGATGACTTTTTGAAACTATATTAGATAATTCAATTTCTAAAACAATAAACATATAATTGTCAATGAATTCAATTCAGGATCAACGATCATGCATTTTCAATCCTTTTATTGATGATTATTTATGAATAGAATCTTCTCAGTAATACTCACACTAACCATTGCCGTCATATTCTTTGACCTTGTTCGTTTTTTCTTTTTTTTTCAATATGAATAAACATAAAAACGAAATTAATGTAGACACGCTCTTTATTATTACCTATTAAATAATTGTATAGGTGGCTGCCGTATTTTATGATATAATCAATACTACAAGAGAAAGTGAAGAAAGGCATGTCTTATTTTTCTTTGTATTTAGGCTGTTTTTAGTCTAATCTTCAACAAAATCGGTTAAAAATCATTGTTTTAATTATTACTCTTCTTTGATTGCAATTGATTCACACTAAATAAAAATGCGTCGATTTTATGTGGCGCGAATTTTTGTGTCGCACTTATAATAAAAAAAAAGTGTCGTATATTTTTCGCGTTCTGTCTGTCGACTGGTCGTTCACTGTTTTGTTATGAACATACAGCGACATATAAACAGCATCGCTGAACGCATGAAAGATAAGTTTTCAAAATAAAATTTTCTTTTAAATTAATTCTTGAATTCTTGATTGTTCTTCAATCAAGGAAATGCCATCCCGATCCATGATCTGGGAAAGACTACACTGGATGGTCTGATGGGAATAGGACCAATTCCAAATCAGCCAGATCTGAGGATCTGATGAGATTAAATTTTCAAAAAATAAGGAAATATATTGAATTAAATTAAAAAAATATTGAAATATGCGTTTCGAAAATGACCAATAGAAAATGTGTCTGGTGTGTTGTGAAAAATGTGTCGTCGTCTTGCTCGGCAGAATGTGTCGCAACGAGCACCTCGTGTCGTGTTTGAATGTGTCGTACTTTGTGTCGTAATTTACGATGCATCCAACAAATTTTTATTTAGAGTGTTAATGTTAAAATATTTTATTTTGATATTAAAACAGATAAATCTTTTTTATAAATATAAGAGAATCACAATGAACTATAAAGTAGGTAAGTAGTTGCGTCTGACCATTAGAAGGTTATCAATAGATATAAATATTTATATAATTATGTACTGTATTCATAATATTAAAACTCATTCATCAATCAAACTCAATCGCGGTTAGTCGCTTTCGTCTGCTGTCTTTCTTTCTTTCCTCTTAATAAAAGTATAGTTTTTAACTATACTAAGTGGCGTGACTCATCATCATTAATTCTATATATTACTGATGATGAGCAACAGTGGCATTATGCCTCATCGAACGAATATGACAAATATCAATCAAATAGATAAAGATTCGGTTTCAGCAACTACACCAACAACAGAACAAAATACAAATTCAACACGTAATGCAACCAAAAGAACAAAACAAGGTAATGATTCGTTTGAACTTGAACATCGTGCGGTTAATATTCGTAACCAATTCTTTAATAGCGCTGGCTCTCGATCAGTACGACAACAACAACAACAACAACAATTAAATTCAACGACATCTCATTCTGCAGCAAATGTAAACTCGACATCCACACGATCAACGTTTCCACCATTTCGGATTAACTTTTGCAGCTGATAGTACACCATCGGAATTATCAATCATCAAAGATATTAACAAACATTGTCACATTGGACTTTCATATGGTCGCTACTCATCCACTGGTAGTAATAAATGTTTTCTTATATATGACAATAGCAGTGAACAATTTGATCGATTAATGCACAAAACAATATGGTCCATTCAGATATGCTCTTTAGATTATCAAATTTTATTCCCATCGAAAGTACCAACTTTATATTCAATTGTCGCTATTGGTGTTCCTGCTCAATGGAAGTTAGAATAATTTGAATCCGGCATTAAAAACAGTATCCAACAATCATCAAAGTTGAACGACTATATGTTAAAGATCGTATACCAATTTCAAAAGTTAGAATTGATTTCTCTTCAAATCAGGAAGTAAAGAAAAGCATTCAAAACAAATGCTTACTCTTAAATGATGAAAATACCTCTTTCATGATCCAACCATATTCTCCTCCAGCTAAAATATTACGCTGTTTCAATTGTCAACAATACAATGATCATATTGCAGCAAATTGTCCACGTAAGGACAAGCCAACATGTTTTCGTTGTGGTTTAAACCATCGATTTAATCCAAACTGTAGCAACAAAATTTGCTGTGCAAACTGTGGTCAAAGCCGTATGGCTGGTAGTCCAAGCTGCCCAGTAAAAGTAGAAGAACGAAGGAAATATCAACAGTTCTCGAACAACTTACCAACGATTAGCAACAACAATAACAACAAAGTATTACATGTTAAATCGACTGGTGCTTCTGGTGCATGGGCAACAAACGCTCTAAAAGAACATACACAAACTCAATTATATACACCAGTTCATAATGTAACATTAAATGAATATCCAGATCCATTATCCGATATCAATAAGAAATTCGATCAGATCATGAATAAAATGGAACAAATTACAAACGAACAAAAAAATATAAACGCGAGTATTACAAAGGCATTTCGATCAATTAAGTCATGACAAAAGGACCTTGCCTCACTCAAGGAATTTATTATTGACAAAGTATGTCCTTATATTTCTAACTTAGGTGAAGCATTTTTAGGAGCAGAAAAGCAAACTGAACAAGAAAAATTACGTCCAATATTTATGAAATTCAAACAACAATATGAAGTAATAGTCGAATCACATGATATAAAACAAAATGAAAAACCTATTCTATCCAAGTCAACATCAAATGAAGCCATCAGCACCTAAATTTAAACCAAAACAAACCCTAGGGCATGTACTGAACAAAGGGTACCCGAAAAAGTACCCTGCTACTAGTATGTCTTAGGAACTTTATGGTACTGGAGTACTTAAAAGTACTTTTAGGTACTCAGGTAGGTACCCTGCTGGAAAACAACTAGTAAATGAGTACTTGAAGATACTGATCAAGTACTCGACTGGATACTATTGCACAGTATGCTTAGGTACCCTGTTACCAAAATTGCAGTACGTTGATGGTCGAACCTAATCTTCGAATTTTTTCATTTTTTTTTCTCTCAAAACAATTCATTAAATTTTTTTTCGATATTATTTAATTTAATTTTTCCAATCCTGAAAACTCTAGCAGGTCAAATTTCGGGATCTGACTGGGCTTGAGTTGGTCGAATCTCTATCCGAACACTTCAGGGTAGTCCGATCTTAATTTACGATTAAGATCGGCATGTTCTCCACTAATCAATAGTCAAGAAATAATCTAGAAAAAAATATGAAAAAAGTTTATTTTCTGATGGTTCACCGAGTTGTTTATAAGAAGCTGTTCACGCAAAAGAAAACGGTGAATGAACAGACGCCACACAGAACGCGATAAATCTAGGGTACCCAGTAGAGCTTTCCTCAGTAAAATTACTGGTGTGGGTACTCATACAAGTACTGCTTCAGCGAAACATACTGCTATGGGTACCCAATGCAGTACCTACAACTACAACAGTCTGGTTACTGAGAATTTTCTAAGTACCCTTAATAGGTACCCTGGTGTGGCTTTCTTAGTATGTGGGTACCCTGAACCCAGTACATTCCCTAGGGAAAGAAACCATTTATTGTAAATGTCGAGCAACTTACAAAACACGAAGAACACACTTTTAAAATGATTTTTGAAGAATGGACTAATACTCCAACACTTAATCTTTTGTTAGACAAATGGTCGAACTATCGTAATAAAACTTTATCAATGTTAAATAGAAAAGACAATATTTCAATACTATTAGTAAATGTTTCCAGCTTGAATCGTTATATGGTAGAGATCTTCAATCTCATTAATTCTACTTCCCCGCCTATCATTACAATAAATGGAACACATCATGACGAAGAATCGATTAAACAATTTACGAAACACTTCTTTAACTATAATATCTTCTCTATCAACGGTACAAACTTATTTGGTGGTGTTCTAGTTGCTGTACATAAATCAATTCATACTCAAAGAATAGTTGGCTTTGACAATATACCAAATTTGATTGCACTAGAAATAGGAGTGGATAATAACAAATTTCAACTAGCCACATGTTACTCACCACCACATGAACAAATTCCTTTTAAGATTTTTGATCGAATACTACAAATAAATGAAAATACAATCATCACCGGAGATTTCAACGCAAAACATAATTCTTGGTCTCGCTCAATAGAAAACCCAATAGGAAAAACATTATTTTATTGGTTATCTTCATTACAAACGCGTTCAACAATGGATATCATTAATAAATTTATACCAACGTCAACTCGCTCAAACGCAACGATTGATCTAATTATTACACCGTCGCATATGTCATCGAACTCTTTTTCAGTTTTGCCGTCTATTGGTAATGATCATCATCCAGTTATTTGGTGCTCCACAATTAAAATATTTACTGGACATCAAACGTATCCAATCAAACGAACACATTGGAAGCTATTCGAAGTATTTCTTACTTTTACCGGTAGCTATTGGAACAAACTTGCAGAGGATATGACTCATTCAACCGCTTTCTTCACGCTTTACGAAAGGCTTTTGTCGTTAAGTATATCACGTTTCACCAATGTTACATTCAGGAAGACATTTAAACCAACATTACCACAACATATAGTTAACTTAACTAATGAAAAACGTCTGTACTTGAAATTGTTTCGACGAACTTATCATCCTTACTATGCAATGATGTTAAGAGACAGAACGAAACTTGTACAAAAAACACTTTTTCAATATAAAAGAAAATTATGGCTTGATTACTGTGGATCATTCAATGATTGTGATACAAAATCTTTTTGGCAGAAAGCAAAACGACATTTCCACTCAAAATCTGCAGCAGTTGAAGGTTTTGTTATTAACAACAGCACGGTTTCTACACCAGAAGAAATGTGTGCTATTGCAAAGGATTATTATGAAGGACAATTTGCTGATCATCGGCACACACAAACATATATTGATATTGAAGCAAGGATAAATGAGAAAGAACTCAATGAAATCTTGTTTAATATTCCTTCTAATCCAATGAATATCAATTACCAGCAATTATGTAGAGTTGTTGCATCAATGAAAAAGAAAAATTCGTCTGGTATCAGAGATGCCGAAAAAATCGCTTTTCCCAACCCGAGGGTTGACCCTACCGCAGCAGATAGAGCCAATGGGTGGGTTTCAACCTAACTTTTATTTTTAATTCAGCGAATGGGTCATTGGGTTGGGTTGAGCAGGTCAACCCAACCCGCCGGGTAACCCATTGGGTTAACCCTGGTTATAATGCATTTCAATTCTCTGTTATATGCAAAAATTTCACACTGCTGATAGAGGTCTATAGCTATCAACAGATTTCTATTATATTTGTGAACGAAATCATTTTCATTTGAGCGAATAAATTCACCAATAAAAATATACTGAAGAGTTATCATCCATTTCCTTTGTATATAATAAAATACTAACTGCATCTAAAATATCATTTAAAAGTAGTGTCATTAAACAAAATTGTACTGATCGAAAATCGATATCTATATAGTGGTTGATTTCTCTAACATATTGAAAACAACAGTGATGAATTCCAAACGTTTTACTTTTTTAAGTTAGTGGAAAACTAAAATAAAAACTAATAGCTCAAACAGCGTGGTGTACTAATGTAGAGTAGCAATGGAAATCGCTCAAGATGTATTCGCAATATTCATTTTTACACTTTTGGTGAACCATAAGAACACCATCTATATTTCGTTTATTTTCCATCGTTATTAACATTAAAAAAATAGAATACAAATCAGGAGAAAATAACAAGTAATTAGATTAGTTTAGTAGTAATTAACTGTACATAAAGAAAGGTGTCTCAAATGAAAGAAATATATAAAATAATAAATAATAATACAAAATACACAAAAAAAAACTAATTTTCTCACATAATCTTTGCACAATAAGAACGACTTAAAAAATAATAGTGCAACATAATCGAAAACCAAAAACGTTAACAAAATGTTTTTTTGGGATAAGCACTAATTTAATGCACCAATATCATTTAATTCTTGAATTTCGATGGATCGGACCAAAATAATATTTTCTAAGTTTTCACCTGACAATCGCGTTCGTCGATCATTGAAGATTAATCCTGCACTACTGAATTGCCTCTCAACTGAGGCCGACGTTGCAGGTATTGAAAATATTCGTCGTGTCAATATAGATAACTTTCGTAAATCCTTATTGTATGTTTTCCACCATAGCAGAGGATCTTCATTTTTTGACTCAGGTTCATCTTCTGTTTTCTTTACTAAGAAAAGATAATGATTCAATTCATCATGAAGGGTCGTATCATTATTTGAATATTGATCATTGTCATCATCTTCAATATCAATAACACTGCGGCCTGGAGAATTTGTAGTAGATGAATTGGAGTAGATTTCAAACAAGGATGATTTTTTCGCCTTTTTTGATGATAAATTCAAATCGATTGCATTCGTAGCAGTGTCATCGATATTAATTTTTTTCAACTCATCACGTATCCATTTGTAGGTTTGCTCAATTTCATTTTTTGAACAACTGAAAGAAAATAAGAAAAATAAGTTTGAACACAATCATAGTTGGATAAAATAAGTAACATACTGCATCATTTTACTATACTTTGGATGCAACAGTACAGCTGCATAGTGACGAATATCTAAGTCAAACATGCTTTCGAGTAAAACGCTCAATCTCTCGCGAAAAAATGAAATTCCTAAATTAGATTCTTTACAAAAATATTAACCAAATAAAATGATTACCTAAAGGTTCAGTTTCTATGTTTAATTCACTATCTTCATCACTTTGTTGTTCATCAAAGCCAATATTGATATCGGATTTTTCTTTGCCATTGATTTCAGCATCGAATTGTTGTAATTCTTCGGTTGATGATAGAATACGTCGAAGCATGAATGTAGATAAGAGCACATAATGCAACGATGGCTTATTACCTGCTTGAACTTTCTCGGTTATCACTTGGAACGGTAATAACAAACGAATCAACCATTTTAAATCATTCGGATTGATGTAAACATGTCTGTCATGTTTTTGTAATACTTTTCTAGTGGCTTTATAAGCACGATGAAGGCTTTGTAGTGAATTCATTAAACTTAACCAACGAACCGAACTGCTTTGCTTCAAAGATATAGATGCCATCGATTTTATTTCATCGTTTAAACCTGCCTAAGAATATTCAAATACATAAGAATATATATATATGAAGAATCAACAATATGATTAAACTATAAACTTACTTTTTTCACATATTTGATTATGTGTTTAACTTCTTTCAATTTAACTAAATATTCACGCGCTTCAATTGGTATCTCTGATGCATCTAACTTGACGTGATCAATCATTGAAAACGATGAATTTGTTCTTTTAACTCGGGAGTTGTGGGACTTTGTTTTTCGTTTTGACTTAATTTTGAAGGATGGCACATAATCATCATCTGCTTCATCACAAGAATCGTCATCTGATGAATGTAAAATATCATTGCAAGTAGTAATACTTGATGTTGTTGCTGTTGTACATGCTATAGATGATTTATCGATTGTACGCTTTAGACCATTTTGAAAAAAACATTTCTTGATTACTTTATTAAGTCGATGGGCATAACAATGTAATGGATTATAGCATTTAAAACATTTAACAAAATTACTTCCTCTGTCGCACATAATATTTGTATTGGACAAATTTAAGTCGAATGGTGACAAAGCTTTATTCATAGCCTAAACAATATTTAAGAAATTAACAATATCGGTATCTTTATCACTTGATATGTTGTCTACTTACTACAATAATGTTTTCAGCCCTTTTATCCGGTTCTGTGTACTTATGCATAGCTAAATCAAACGTTGAAAAACAAAAATCAGAATCGATCATACTACATGTAATTCCAAGATAAGATGATGTATTAAATTTGTCGCTCCATAAATCAGGCGTTATTGTCAACGATTAGAACATTTGTAATTCGATGAAGTGTGTATTTAATTTTTTACGATGACTATCAGCCATTATTTTCATATGTTCAGTTATGATACTTCGATGAGGCAGCATTGAATTCACGTCGATATTACCATATTTTGCTCCTGAAGTATAAATTAAAAATACTACAGATGAAATATATTTCCTAATCTTGATGTATTACCTAAGCTTATTGCTTGTTGGACAATATTTCGTAAGCCAATATCATTTACAATTGAAAATGGTCTCATAGATCGGCATAACCATTGAACAATACTTTCTTTGGTTCTTAATTTTTCGTGGAGCGTTAATCTAATTGATTTAATAACTAAACCGTACGAGGTTAATGGATTGATGCCAGAAGCAGCTGTTTGAGGTAAAATCTGAGTAGTTGATGATGCCTGTGTTTTTAATATTAGGCTTTCTTGCTGTTCCTGTTCCATGATATAGTTTTTGAAACATGGATGATTTCTAAGAGGAATCGTACCAGTATCTTTCTTCTTGACGTATGTACTGTTACAGTTGAAACATGATGCATATCCATCAATAACACAAAATACACCGGAATTATCTTTTTTTACAGGCACACCAAAGACATTCCAAACATCAGAGTATTTCAATTTTGCATTTTTCACCTTTGGTTGAATCATCCATTCATCCGTCATCCGGTTTATTTTTAAGATAAAAAGTGATCGATTTTGAGGAATTTTTAACAGAAATAGAACTTGATGACGTTGAACTGTGCTGAATCTCGATTTCTGCATCAATAGCTGTATCGAAATAAGTCATGTAAAATCTAAAAACAAAGAAATAAAAAATATTATCAAGAAATCATACAGCATTTACCTCAGAAATTGTAGTGAAACAAGTTAAATGGATTTGTTAATTGAATCAGCTGTTAAAGAATTGAATATCTTGATTTAGAACGTCCAAGATGAAAAGTGCGCACAATCAATAAATAAAATGAATAAGTACAAATTATACCACTTGTAAAAGGTCTTACTTTTTTTGAAAATGAAGTGAAGATATGCATCCATTTATATATATGCATCAAACAAAGCTCTACATACAAAGAGTTAACAGATGTATGATGAACAAAAGGAATCGAAGAATATAGAAGGCAAAAACAAAGATCTAGTAAAGAAGATAGTGAAATCTACCTCGATCGGCGAAGGAGAGCAAGGGACCTAAAATAGAGAAGGGAAGAAAGGAGGAGATAGGAGAGGATAAGAGAGAAGATAGGAGAAGATGAGAGAGAAGAAAGGTGAAGATAAGAGAGAAGAAAGTGAGACTGCAAGAGAGAGAGAACAGAGAGAAAAAGAAGATGCAGTGCGCTTCTTGTGTGTTAAGCTTGATTATGCGATCAAATAAATAATAAATATGGAAGAGATGATTCATGCTCTATACTGTATTGTAACGACATCTGCATTAAAAATCCTTTTTGTGAATGATTTTACAATATATATTATTCATGGGTTAACCCAAGGGTAACCCGAGGGTTGGTCGATTGGGTTCATACGTTAAGCTTGACCGATGGGTCAGGGTTTAAAATTCTCAAATTACCGGAGGACTACATTGGGTTGGGTTAGGGTTGACCCATGGGTCACCCAACCCGGTGGGTAGCGGTGACGACCCAACCCATCCGGCATCTCTGTCTGGTATAGATGGAGTCTTAAATAGAATTATCAAGATACTTCCACCAAATCATCTATCCATAGTCCTTGCAGGCATGAACAATTTTGCTACCAGTTTGCAAACACCTTCACACTGGCATATTGCAAAAATGATATTATTATCCAAAGCAAAATCCAAGACCACATCTATTGATAAAACAAGACCGATCTCTTTATTATCCTGCTTTTCCAAGCTTTTTGAAAAAAATTTCTGATCCATTTTCGCAGATGGACAGATGATTTTGCAATACTTCCACCTGAACAAACTGGATTTAAGCCAAAGCACAACATGTCCGTGCGCTTGGTATCTATGATCGATCAAATTGGACAAAGTTTATCAATAATTACTGCTGCAGCTGCACTTTTCGTAGACTTTAGTTCAGCGTTCAACTGATTATGGTTTAATGGTTTATGGTTGAAACTAACTAGGTTACATTGTCCACTATATATAATAGCATGGTTGAAGCATTACTTATGTGGTAGAAAAGCGTATATTGATATAAAAAGTACAACTTCACCTACGTTTGAACTCTCAAAAGGTGTTCCACAAGGTAGTTGTATCGGTCCTGCACTATTCCTTGTCTACCATCATGATTTATTCGAACAACTGTCAACTATCCATTGGAAGCACTTATTTGCTGACGATTTGGCGGTATTGATTGCACCATCAGCAGCGTTGTCATCAAAGAAGATGATTAAATCACTTAGGAGACAACTAGTACAAATACTAAGACGTCTGATAGAATACTCTATCAAGTGGAAGTAACCAATTCATTTTGAAAAAACCTATTGGACACTTTTCAATCGTCAAGGAAATCCTATTGTACCTACAATCAAATGCCGAGGACACAAGATTGAACATGTGAATCAAATCAAGTATCTTGGAACAATTCTTGATGCTAAGCTATCTTTCACAGCGCACATCGAGTACATTAAATCAAAGATACGAACTAACCTGAACGTATTCAAAAGATTAGCAAGTAGTCGTATGATGAGCGAAAGAGTCAATTATTGTCTCTACAATGCATTCATCCGACCACATCTACAATCGATATTGAACATTCATCCACTACTAGCAAAAGATAAAAAGAAACAACTCGAAGGATTACATAGACAAATGTACAGAATTATACACAATTGGTATGATGCTAGAAATATTGAGATAGAGCATTTATCAAAATATAAATCGATTGAAGAACTATCTCGCATCCACTTGAACAAACTAACATGTACAATAGTAGAAACGAACCCTAGCATCATCGAAGATTTTCTGCAACACAAATTGTCGATCATTTTCCTCAACGAGTATCTGACGAATCCAGCCCTGGTGAAACAAAGAAGAGAAATTTTCGAACGTGGAAGAATTCCAAAAAATATCATCAACAGAATAAAACAAAACCGAGTAACATTATTTGATCATGTTCTCTGTTTCTCACAAAATTAAAAGAATCTTGCAATCACCTACAATTACTAAATACTACAACAAATTGATCAAGCTGGCAGACGTTTTTAAATTGTCTTTATCTTTCTTTTACTCTCTACTCTAACTATTTCTCAAACTATTCTTCTGGCATTTTTTTTTAAAGTGACTTCTCTCTCTATTTTTAAAATATTTCATTTCTAACCTAGTTAACTATGTCGTATATACTTGATAAAAATGGTTTTCTTTATCGGCTGCAGGAGCGAGATTCGCGCATAGCCTTAAAAATAAAGCTTTATAATATATAATATTGAAACTGATTTTAACAAGAGAACACAGAATAAAATGAATTGAATGTATCCACTCAGATCGTTTTTTATCAATTCCAAAACCATTCAACAACTATCTAGCCTCGTAAAGCTATAATTATTTTTGAACACTTACCTACTGTTACTTCTGGTGTTGTAAGCTTTTCCCTGGCACCATTTTATTATGATTTAAATAAATATTTTTGTTGTGAATATGTTTGTTTTGAAATGTTTCATACTTTTCATTACATTTTTGTTATCTTCTTGAAAACTTATATTTCTCGACAGCATTTGAATGATTCTCCTTATCATTTTGAGTTGACAGTTACGGTTTTAGTGTTTGTGTTTTGCATGATAAATTTTATTTATTTTTCAATTTGTTGCGATAACCTATCAATAAGAGTTATGATGCATTAAATAAGAAATTTGCTATCTTTAAATTAACGAATTTGATGTTTGTAGAGAAAAAATTTCGAATTGATGAAAATAAAAACAATTCCAAATAAACATGAAGCAAATGGAGTATGAAAAATTATTTCAAGACGCCATGTAACTTTTTTTCCGAGTCGTAACGCGTCTCTGAGCGTTTGTGAACGATAGCAGTTCACGCATCAGGACGCATCTAGAATGCAACATTTTCGGGGGCGCAGACGCATCCAGGGTAACCTGACGCGTGTACACTCGTTCGGTATCTAAACGTATCATAAGTCGTTTGCATTGGAAGACGCATTAGGACTCGTCCCAAATGCAAAACACAAACACTAAAACCGTAACTGTCAACTCAAAATGATAAGGAGAATCATTCAAATGCTGTCGAGAAATATAAGNCGTATCATAAGTCGTTTGCATTGGAAGACGCATTAGGACTCGTCCAAAATGCAATATTTTCAAGCGTGGGAAAGTATCCAAAAGCAAATACGTCTAAACTCGTCTGGATGCAACATGCGTTAGAACGTGTTTACTTTTTTCCCCCAAAAAACATTAAAAATTATCAACACTATGTGTCGGAATTGACCCGACGCATCATAGGAAGCTATGATATAACACCCACATACCATGCACAACAGAGTGGTAATTCTTCCAACGATAGCGTGAACCAAGATTTGAACACATGAACCGTTGATTACAAGCCGAACATAACTTGCGCTGAACCATATATTGCTGGATATTGTTATTATGGTTGGCCGTAGAAAGGCCGAAAGGAAAAATATCGAAAGAAAAATATCGAA